ATTGCTCTTTCTATGTTGCCGTGATTTGGGAGATTAGATAGGTGTGTTTCTTGGAGTAGAACCACGTCTGGTCTGAGTCTGTTCTTGTTGTAGCGTCCTAGCCAGATGTCCCTTGATTCATCTTCTTCCGTCAGTGCGTTTCCAAGCCCATTGACGTAGCAGCTGATGATTTTGAGTCCTTTGGCTTGCCAGTCTGTCGTGAGAGTTTTGTCTTGTGGCGTGTCGGCAGCCATTGATTGGTTCTGCATTCTCGACTATTTCTTCCACTTTGTCTTTCTTTCCGTTGCTGTTGTGTGTGCTACTTTTTTTTTTTTTTTTTTTTTTTTTTTTTTTTTTTTTTTTTTTTTTTTTTTGTACAGTTAGCTGTGCGGTTAGGTGCAGTTACCTAATCCACCACTGTGTTTGTCTCGCGGCTCTCGATGTCAGATCCCCCACTGTCCTCCTTGCTGGTCGACGGGTCCAGGCTGTACGCACTCACGCTGCCTTCCGGCAAGGATGGGCCAGCCGTGTCGTCGTCGCTTGGGGAAATCTTGTTGCTGTTTATCATGTCATCGTCATCCTCACCGGTGTCGCTGTCCCCCATTTCTACATGTATCGGGATCGCCTCATCTTTGCAGAGAGTTTTTCGAGACGAGGAGGCGGGTCTTGATTATGACGGCCAAAGAGCCTGCCATCACTTCTGTCGGGCACATTCTGTTCGCTAACACGCTGCAGGGGAGTGCTGTGATGGTGTTCCAAGCTCTCTAGGTGAGGCCTTCCTGAAGTTTGGCTTTCTCATCTAGCTTGACCAAAATGGGGTCGAATGATTTGCTCTTATCCTCTGCATTGTTGCTGGCGCTGGTCGCAACTGTATCGTGTTGGGGGACCTTGTTGACTCCCAGGGGGCAGTCTGGAAGATGTGGTCCTTGGTGCACCTAGCCAGGGCACGGTCGTCGCTGGTGGTGGGCATGGCGAAGGAATCCTCCGTCGCTACATGCCACTCGTTGAATCCATTCCTGAACTGGACTGGGACTAGGGGACGGACTGGTTTTATGGTTTTCCAGTTTGTCCTCGCTGTCTTAATGACTGCGGGGGCTGTGTTCTCAGCGATTTTCTAGATGGTCCAGCGTGTCCTTTCATGTAATCTGCGTTCTGCTTAAATAAATGTTTTGTTTGTACTGCTACCGTCGCGATTTTTTGTGTGATTTGTCTTTGTTCGCTTCTTTGACCTTTGGTGTCATTTGATGGTTTCCTGGGTCTCTTTTATATGCCCTTGGACAGTTTCCAGTTCTTCAGGTCCACGCCTCTTATTGAGTCTCTCGTTGTTTGTGTTTCCTTTCTCGAGTCCGAGTTTCCCTTTCCCTCTTCTTTTCATGATATCTGGAAACGTTGAATTCCAACAATTCACTTTTTTGCCGCAGGAACAGATCAAACGAACTTTTGGATTGTGGGATGCCTGGCACAACAGATTTGCCTGTTTTCTCCATGTGTCTCATACAAGCCACTCATATGTCGTACTTGGATTTTTCTAGATATTCTCTCAGCCATGGGAGGGGGGACGCGTCTTTTTCTTTGGATTTGCCGTTTGGATCATTCTTCTTGGAAGAGATGTCCATCCCTGTCTGATGTTGGGGGTCTGGGTTCTCGACTGTTCCGTCTATGGTTTGGTTTGCATGGAGATCTTCATCTGATGAGGGTATTGTTTCTCGTCTCTTCTTCTTATCTATCCTGTCGTCTATGTGTTCTTTTAGGGGGGAGGCTTGTTTTTTGAGGCCGGTTTCATGTTTGGCATACCGTTCCTTGATGATATGTCTGGCCTTTTGGAGGTGCTTGCTGTCATCTTCTGGGTTCTGGAATGATTCAACGGTTTTATGTCTGATTGATTGCAGGTCCCACAACATATCTTCATGTTTTTTTTTTCGTGGATCGCTCGGGGGTTGATCACTGGGTCGGAGTGGAATTTCCAGGCAAGCCGGTAACTTTTTTGGCTCCCACCGCATGCCATCCGTTATCTGATGGGGGGAGATGTCTGGCTGTTTGGTCACTGGTATCGTGTGACTATATGTCCAGATCCACATGGGGTCCTGAATGGTATCGTCAAAGACCCAACCATCATATTCTGGGTCCTTGACAAACCAAATGCCTTTGGCTTCTTCGACCTCAACCAGCATGCTCTGCCTGAGGTTTTTTCTCTCTCATGTGGTCGAGTGAGCGGGGCACCTGGGGTCAGTTCCCAGATAGCCTCTCTCTCTATGCATCGGAAACAGATTGGGTTTGATTTCGTGGAAACCACCACGATGTAGGATTTGTCGTCAATGATGCATTCCCACTCCTCTAGGAAAACTGGAGGTTCATCAGTGTGGACTTCCATAATCGCTGTCATGGAGTTGCAGTTGAGTGACAAGAACACTGGAGTGGGGAGGACCCACTTCATAATTTTGTTTGCTGGTTATTCTACCTCGAGCCGATCCTTGATGAGGGGCTGGCGTCTGATTGGTATCTTGTTGAATTGTACCCAGAATTGCTCGCGCAACAGCCTCTGTTTGTTTGAAGCGGCCAGCGAGATTTATGCTTCCAGGACTGTCTCTGAAACGGTTTTCACCTTTTAGTAGTAGCGGATGCAGTACCCAGGGTTCGACCCCTAGACCTCACCCTACCTATGTACAGTATCTGTATAGATCCCGAGAATTGAACCTGTGACCTGTGTATTCGCAGATAGTTGGTAGGTCTGTCGTAGGTCCATTTGCAGTAGGGGTTCGATCTGTAGGTCTATAGCGTAGCAGTCTTAGTGAGTTCCGAAAGCTTAGCTGTAGACCTTCTAGAAGGTAGGCAAGTGGGCAAATGGTCAAGTGGCGAGGCAAGTGGTGGACTAAACCGCAGTGCAACAGCAGTACAACGTGGGTAGGATAGCGGTGAGTCCACAGTCAGTCAGCGGAAGGTCCAGTCAGTCCCAGTCCGGTCCAGCAAGTACCACAGGGGGACTGTGAGCACCAAGGGCCGATGGCAAAGGGCAGACCAACGAGTTTCTGAAGTATAAATCAAGGGGGAGCTCCATTCATTCATTCCTGCGTGAGCCATGCGGAACCGCTGCCACAACGACTTGTGCAAGGAGGTCTGCAGATGAGCCCGGAGGACGCAATGGGCAAGAGAGAGGGAGTTAGCATAGCGATAGGTTAGATGCAGCGATAGCTGCCATAGCTGTAGTTAGTAGTGAGTGTGTGTGTGTGTTCGAGTGTTAGAGTGATGCGTGTGGGATATCCAGGGTGATCCAGTGTATGTGAACAGTGAGTTGTTTGGGCGCTGAAGTCGCCATAGCCAATTGAGAGTGAACTCGTGTCTGAAAGCCATGTCTCTGAGTTTTGAGTGGGCGCATGTCGCCAGTATGCTGCGTTGCTGTTTACATGCATGGAAAGTGTGTTTGAGAACGAGTCTGATTGCATTGGTATCGGAGCTGGTACCCGCTATTCCACGCGCGCCATCGCATGCAGGACCTGATGCGCCATAGCCGAGGTGGCAGCCGAAGGAGATAGTCCGCCATAGCGGACTTGAGGACGAAGAAGCCGCCGCGCACCTGCAAGCAGACCACGAGAGAGAGAGAGAGAGAGAGAGAGAGAGAGAGAGAGAGAGAGAGAGAGAGAGAGAGAGA